CACACAGACACACACACACACAAACTATAATTAAGTAACTAACTATGATACAGCACCATGTTTAGCTGATTGTAGATTCATACCCGGTACCCGTGTCAATAAACGAATCCACTTCCCCGTGGGTCCTCAGCTCCAGTCGAGCCAGGTTTGTCATTCTCCGTGGTGCTGACCACCGTGGCCTCCTTGACATGAAGCAACTCGCCAGACCACGAAGCACCAACTTCGGCATGAACACAAAGATGACGGACAGCGGCTAAGCTGCAAGTGGGCACTAAGTGTAACCGTAGCTCATCCGTGGCTGATCAAAGGGGTTGGGGCTAGACCTTGGTTTGCATGCTTAGTTCGGGGGCGTTGGGGCATCCATCAAGAGCACCAGAGCTCCGTCACGTGCAGTAAGCATGCGCCCAATGCCATGTTGCAAACAGGTCGGCACTGCGTATGGCAGCCAAGTCTAATGTTCTTCCTTCAACAGTCTGCGTGTTTGACACTCTGCTCCGAACTCTGCTGCGAATTTGTATCAGGTTGATATTGACCGTCAGCACCAATAAGCCGCTAATCTGAACCTGAAACTATTTAGGGCCGTGAGATTCTCAAGCAAGTTGCGCTTGTGGTGCTGTACAACGATTCCAGCGTCAGCAGCCGAATGGTGGAGATTGCAAAAGCCTGCGCAGTTGTCGAAGCGGCATGCTATCCCGGAGCAGAGCTTTGAAACCAAGCAATGGCACGTGGAAACACGGGTTTAAGGGCCCAGCTTACATGTATGCTGTCTGTGCTATGTCAACCCCACCACGAACTACAGCTATATTGCAGCTATATACATTGTCGAGCCCCCCAAACTCCATTGCGCGACCCATCAATGCAGAACGAAAGCTAAATAGTCACGACTGCGCAATGCTGTAATCAGCAGAATCTTTGCAACATGGTTTTGTTCGGGGCGAGCTTTCCAAGTGCGACCCGCATGCCGCCACAGTTGAAAAACCAACCGCATCAAGGTCTCCACGGTGTCACTGTGCCAAAGAGTGAGTCACATGTGTATATATATATATACGTATATATACGTTCATTTTTTTGGCCACTATTTGTCGGAACATTGCATACGTGAGCACGAAGACGTGATCAATGGGGTGGAGTGGGCGGGATCGAAAAGCAGGACCGATCGGCTGATCGCCGGAATGGCCACGGACATAAGTGATCAAGGCGGTTCTTACGTCCACGTGGGGGCCGAAAGACGGCATGCCTGACAAAGTGTACTTGATCATGGAAGCTGGCATGATGTCCGGTGTTGGAGGTCGCGCCACCCGCCGTCTTCCCACCAATGGGAAGCAGTGTGTTGGTAACACTGATGATCGGTCCTCCCGCCGTGGGGGGCCCAGAGGCAACCCGCACGCCAGCCACCACATAACCGACAAGTTGTGCACACAGTAAATTGATGACCCCCGGACTTGGGACCGGGACGAGCTGAAACATCGTAAGTGGTGCAGTGCTATCCTCGCCAAACTTTTCGTAAATCTTCACAGAAAGAAAGCTGCTACTCGCTGCAGCAATTTCCGAAGGCAGGGCACTGTAAACCAAACTGTGAATTACAGTAATGCCGGGCCAAGCACGGCAGCATGACAGGAGCTAAAGCTCTCCACTGCTGAGGGCTACTGCAGGGGCTTGCCGCAACGTGCAACAAGCCTCTTCTTCCCCTAAAGCAGCAGGCCTGCTAGTCCACGACCAGCTAGATGGCTCGCGTGGAGGCAGCAGCGAACAAGCCTTTGCATACGTCGCCACATACTCAAAGATCCATACCATGCAGCCAAGTAGGATAAGCATCAGTAAACAAATCAAAATCAAAATCAATGTTTTGCGGATTTCGTACCTTCTGCCCTTGCAGGTGGGGGCCGAACGTCGGCTTCCCAGAGAGAAAACTGGTGTCATGAAAACACTGTCAAAAGCTAAGAAAACCATGTGTGACAAGCCAGGCATGCCAGAATTCATGAAAATGAAGCAGCAACGGCCATGGCAAGGGAATCTACAACCCACCCCTAAGTTTGCGCCGCTCCTGGCGCTTAGAGGGGCTATCATTTGTTCATTCGAACGCACTAGTCGAGTCGACTATTAGGCGGGCGCTGCATACTCGTATCTCAAGGTGAGCTACGAGAATGGCCTTTAAGGCACGCCGGATTACTACACACCGCTTCCCACGGCGGTAGCCGACTATTGCGGCTTTGACAAGAAAGCTAAGTACCACGTCCTACTGACCTCTGCGAGGTCTGTTGAAGTAGCCAACGCCGTGGGCGTTTCATCATTCTGTACATAAAGGGCCGGATGAGCGGCTCCCTCACGCAGGCTCCGGGTGAGCTCACTGAAAAAAGCTTAGAGGGTTATCATTTTTTCATTCGAACGCACTAGTCGAGTCGACTATTAGGCGGGCGCTGCATACTCATATCTCCAGGTGAGATACGAGAATGGCCTTTAAGGCACGCCGGATTACTACACACCGCTTCCCACGGCGGTAGCCGACTATTGCGGCTTTGAAAAGAAAGCTAAGTACCACGTCCTACTGACCTCTGCGAGGTCTGTTGAAGTAGCCAACGCCGTGGGCGTTTCATCATTCTGTACATAAAGGGCCGGATGAGCGGCTCCCTCACTGAGGCTCCGGGTGAGCTCACTGAAAAAGGCATCCTGCGGCTCCCTTTTGGGGGCCGTTACACCCAAGGTGCGATAATGGCCTGAGTCAGATGTGTGGCCAATGTGGTAAACAACCGAGTGTAACACATAAGCTTGTGGCCGTGTCTCTATGCCCTCCGTGAAGGTTGGCACCTGTAGCTTCGGTAGCGAAGGAATAGGGTGCGAGAGTTTGTGCACCTCTTCATCCGCATTGCCTCGAAATCTTACACGACATGCACGAGCTTCCATCCAAAGACCGCAGTAGCAGATGTGCACCTTCTACACAGGGTGGAGAAACGCTGGCTTCATGGCAGAGCCACAGTTTCGCACGCGGCAACACGTCGGAACCTCCATTCCGACTGCACCGCCGGCTTGTGTTCTGTACACTTGAGCCCCACACTCAAGATCGCAACAACCCAAACCTCCAAACCACATGCCTCACAGCACAAGAAAGACGCTTGAACGAAACCTCCAAAGCCACGGTTTTACGGTCTAACAATGGGAGCGTGCCGTGAAGTTTACGTGGGACATTGTTGGTTGGCCAGGCCTCGAATCCTGTTATCTATTTTGCTAGCGCCACGCTACCGCGAATCTAGCGCCAAGCTGGGGATTAACGTGCTCAACATGGGGCCCTGCCTCATAACGAAGAGAGAAAAGAGGTCTCTAAAAATAATAATGGCCACCTCTGCTTGAACTCTTAACCGCCCTTTTTGGTGAAAGCCCAGATGTATTCAGTCGTCCCCCCGACTGGGAGTCCGACAGCACTTTGGCAGAAGTACTGTCGGCACACACAGTTGCAAACCAGGATCGTTCAATCGCGCTCTTTCAATATGAAGCGGATGGGCTACAAGAGCATTGTCTGAATATGTCTGAATCAATGACTTGTTAGGGCTCATCTCTTCCACGATTGAGTTCACGTTCTTTTCGATGATAATCACCGCGGCTGCAGGGCGAGCGTCCTCAATCTATTTTCTGATCACTGGATCAGAGCTTCGGTGGCAGAAGCCGCCTCAGGATCCCTCTGCCCTCTGCGAGTATGTATAGCCCGAGCAAGGCGCCTTGCACCCACACACACACACACACACACACTCTCGGCGGCTTAGCGCCTCGTACTTCTCTGCCGCTGTCCGAGCAAAGCGGTGCTCGAAGCCACGCTTGTCCGACACAGCATCCTTCGATCTTTGACCGCTCACAGCATGGTCACACACCACATGACATGCCGCAAGCATTTGTTGAAGGCTGCAGACATGCCGTGTGTATGTGCAGGTTCGTGTCAACTGTTGACAAGCGTGACGGCTGCAATGACTTGTCAGTAGCCGGGCAGGTGGACTCGGAACGCTGCGATCCCGACTGCGGCCTGCAAAGCAGCTGCTGGGCCGCATATTTCCTGAGCTCCAGTCGGGGCGGACTTCGGACAGCACTGCAGAAGTCGCGGTTTAAGTCTAGCGCAAAGGCCAGATCGAAGTGCAGAATGCCGCTGCCCTGCCCTTGCCAGCGTGGCATAGAGTGCCCCAGCTGGGAAAGCGGCGCTACGGCTCTGCTGTAGATCAGAAGATCTGAACAGGTCTGAAGAACTGGTAGCGAAAATGACGAAGGCTTGCCTGCGAGCTCCCCAGGCTGTGCTCCCAAGCCTTGGCTTCACTTCGGGTAAATGCAGAGCAGAACAACGGACATGAACAAGAACAACTGCCGCTGACACAGCTGAGCTTCCAGGAGCATCTGTAATGATAGCAACCTTGCTGGGGCTGGCGGGCTTCGGGCTGGGCCAGGCACCTACCTGAAAGAATTCCAAGACTTTCAAGAATTGTCGACTGCATCGCCTTACTTCCTCCCTGCCTGAGAGCCTGAAAGACTGCCTGCAGTGCTATTGGACCTAGATCATGGAATTTTCTCTGCGCTCAGTTGAGAGAGTTGTCGTGAGACATTGTAAGGACTCGTTAAGCTCTTGGAGGCCAGCCAGTCTTGGCTGAGATGGACATGGGATAGAAGGAAAACGAAATCAGCCAATGGTTCTGCCCGGCAACCTTGTGCGCGCCGACTTCCTTGGCTGGCGGTTTTCTAGTCCAGCAAGACTAACACTGCTTGTTTTGAGTGGGGTCGTTTGCATATTATCGAGGAAGCCACGCCAGAATGAGCTCAGCTGCTGAAACTTCCGCCCCCAACGCAGAAGCCAGCAGATGTGGAACAATGGTATCCAGTGCTGCCGACGTTCCCGCTGCCAAATGAGCTGAATTCAAGTCCTTATCTCAATCGCAACTGCGACGCTTCGCACGAGTCATGCCTCGTTCCCTTGCTGGAGTCGCTCAGAAAACCAGGACCGTTCTCGTGTCGTGGCATATTTTGAATTTAAGTCGGCGGGATTGGGCGCACATGCTGTACCGACTATCATTGCCTCAGCTTTTCTTGTCACAAGATATGGTCTGGAGTCTAACAGCTTCGTCCCGCAACCCTGATGGCAAATCCAGAGGTTGCACACCGGGATCATGCGATGTGCGGCTCAAGGTCATTGCATGTACTGTTTGTGTCACGTAGTTAGTGCCTTGCAGAAGCTCCTGTGCGAGGATGCTTGGTGGTCGTGGCGGATGGTCGTCTAAATCGGTACTCAGTACTCTTTCACAACTCGGACTTGCCAGACGAGGAGTGACTAGCGCATTGGATGCATGACCAGATGGTTGCTCTGATTCTCGGTGGAGTGTTGAGGGGTTCAGCTTTTTGAAATTGCTTGTTGGGAACGGGCTTGGCCTGGATGAGCAAACTGCCAGCTCATGCTATCAGGAAGTGCTTCTGTTCTTCTGTTGCCTGGGCCTCGGTGGGCCTCGGCTCCGACATCGCCTCACTTTGCAGACCGTCGTAATCTCCAGATCATCTTAGAAGGGGCTGCACAAAGGCCCCCAGAGGCAGCTTCTCACGGCGCATCACGGCTTCGTTAGCCGCGTTGCCAGCCCGCGTTGTGAAACACTCTACTCGCAGTTCAACGCTCCAACACCTCTCCCGGTCCAGTCTGTTTCACAGATGAGGAGGTGTCCGTGGAACAGCTCGCGTCTTCGATGGAGAAGAAGAGTCTAATGTTAGCCAAGAAGATTATGCCTGAAGTGTCTCTGTCCCACGACAGACGCAGCAGTAGCTCGTCAAAGAAGATGCCATGATCTGCCATGCTCGTAGGTTCCTTCACCATGGAGCCCGAGATACAAAATCCAGAACTCCTTAATCAGCCTTAATCTTTTACAAAATTACGAGGATTGAGAGTCCAATATCTAGCTTCCATCACCAAGCTTGTGAAAGGATGCAGAAGGGCTAGAAGCAACTCCTGCTGAGCAATTGTGAGGAATAAGCAAGCTCAGAGAAATCCCGACTCTACCTGCCTGTGATTGCGGTGACAGCCAGATTTGTGGTCGAGTTGTTTGATCAAAGGTCATAGAACAGGCTCACCGTGTGAGGCACATCGCCGAATGCAGCCAAACAGACCACTTTTTTGAGAGACAAAAAGACCTACCTGGAGTTGTTCTGCGCAACAAAACGACGATCCAAAGCCCTCCTCTGGCTCCCTTCGATCAGAGCTGCAGCCGACGAACCTTCCTAATCTTTCTCGATCTCTGGTGAAGGACGAAGTAGAGTCTGAGCTGGTCAGGACTGCTTTTTGGGTTTCAGGGGACGATCGCGCCTCAGGTAATGCTTGCAATGGACGAGATTATCTCCAAGGTGGCGGCAGGGGCCACCATCTTGGAGGATGTTTCAAGAAGGGGCAAGACTCGACTCGAACGGGCAATCGCGGATTTGCTCACGGATCGTAGTGTCTGAAGATGACAACTTCCCTATGCTTTGCCCGTATCCGAGAAGGAGTTTTGCACGATGCTTCTTGGGGTACCTTTCAAACTGGGGAGACTTCTGGTACAAGCATTCATGCAGTAAAAGTGCGGGAGAGGCCACTGCCGCCGCGTTGAACAGGGCTGCCTGAATTCAAGGCACTTCACCTACTTAAAAATAGCGGCGGTTCAATCGTGCAACCCTCAATGCAAAGACGGCGACAAGGGCATGCCACAAAAATTCTCGCACGAGATCCTCCGATGCTGCTCCGACGAATGCGATGAAGCTGCGTGCGAGCCAACGCAGCTAGAAGAAGTGGGCGGAACCTGGCCACACATAAATCTATTGAGCAGTTTAGCTCTTTGCATGCAGCACAGCCAACCTCACGCAATTATACCTGGCAGTGCCTTAGTCTAATGCGGAATCTTGCTGAGCGCTTCTTCGCTCGCTTATGTATGCAAGCCATTTCGCTAGAAACCTGCCGCCTCGCAGCGTCCATCACGTCGTGTGGCTGTGCCGCTGCAGCTGCACAGGCCGAAATGCCTGGGACACAAGGAATGCGCAAACGCTATTCGCATGCGGTGTTGCCATCAAGCCCTTTGCGCTCGCTCGCCGCGAATATCCACAACTTTTCCACCGTGTACGCGAAGGTGTGCTTCGTCGAAAAGATCTGACACACTTGTGCAACAAGAACGTTGGGACAGGCTTTGCACCATGAGGTGGTCCCGAAAGCCACCACCACGGACAGGATCACCGCAGTTTCCACTCCGAAACTCTAGGAGCTAATACCCCCTGCCGTTGCCAAAGCAGCCTTTGGGCCACGTCTTCGGCACTCTGCAGCTTGAGATTGAGTCCCTCCGACAAAGGTGGACTGGCACCAGGCCTCTCCGGCAGAGGTGGCCCGGTACCCACCCAGCAGACGGAATCTTTTTCTGAAGTGGGGAGACGCTCTCCTGATTTGCTTTGTGCGAGGGCTGGTCACTATCCGGTACTATCCGTAACGACCGCGACGTCTGAAGGGGCACTCTTGGGCTCCCTACCTGACAAAGCATCCAGTCCAAGGTTTCTGAGACAGAAGCTGGAATGGCCAAATCTGCAGCACCGCACCAGCTCAAGTGCAAGAGCATCGGTCGCTGCCTCATGAAGTACAAAGGAGAAAGCAATTGATCACCTGCCGGCTGGCTTCTCGACGCCCCTGTGGTTCTTGCCTCTGTCAGGGCTGAAGGCCTGTCCAGCTTTTGGGTTCTTTGCGCTGTGATGGGCTTCTTGTGCTCGTCATCGTTTCGTCCGCTCGCCCGATGATTCGATGCAAGTGCGTGGCACCCAGGTCATACCCACGTGCAGAGGGGTCGCCGATACGAGGGAGGACCTGTGTTTCGAAGCTCTTGAATACGCACGATTTCGGCAATCCAAATTTGTTCGACGTCCTCACCCACCCCGAAAGAATCATCTCCATGACTCCATGACAGGACAAGGTCAGGAATCTGTCCGGATGGTAATTCGAAACCACCTGCGACAAGCGTGCTATCAAGCGACACCCTGCTGACCTCCCAGGCTAGTTGGTGGAGGCCGCGCTCAGGACTCAAGATACTGCCAAGATTCTCCCGTGAACTGTCAGGGTCGGATTCCTGCTGACAGCTTCGTGTCCAGAATTGTCCAGATACAGTATAGACTTCCGCCAAGAGACGGAAAAACAAACGCTGTTCACTTGGTGACTGCTTGCACGTCTCTCGAGTCGCTTCCGACACGGCTGGTGTCCCAGCAGTCTGGCTCCTTCAGAAAGCGACATTCCAACCTTGCATAACCTTGCCCGACATTCGGCGTTGTGCGGTTTTGGAGCTTCGTTACAGCCTGGACTCGATTCACTCCCTCGACCCACGGTGACGTAAGCTCCTCGTGGCGTGGCGCCTGTCTAACCAAGCCTTATACCATCTCTTGCTTGGCCTTGGCCTTTTATAGGCGGGAGGCACTTCCGAACTCCATCTAGTGTGCCGATGACGCTGAGCATCTTTCCCACCAAAACCGCGCTGCAGTCTGTGGGTGGTCCGCGCCCTGCTTGGCATTGATATCATTGACTGTACAGTCGATCACATCAGAAGGCTCCACCACGTCAGAAACTTAACGTGCAGGAAGCTTCAACTAAACCGCGGTGGTTTGCGCAAGCCTCGAGTAAACTGGCAACCGGCCAGAACACATCGCTGCGCTGGTGCTGTTCGGCAACCACACCTCGAATGTGAGGGCCTGCCACTGGTCACTATGCACAGGCCCTTTGTTGTGGCTGCTCCCGCCGACATGGAACACTTAGTTTTGTCGCTTTCAGCTTCACTGGCACGGCGCACTGCAAAGAATCTCCTGTCCGTTTTTGGGGCAGCCTTTCACCACAGTCACCTCCTTCGACATGCCGCTGCCTCTCTCGGGGCACTTCGACGGCAGCTCGCGAACAGCTTTGGTTTGCCTTGCCGTCCTATGCCGTCCTTGCCCTTATGCCGCATGCGCCGAGCTCAGGGTCTTTTGGGCCAGTCACGGCGCACACACGCACAGGTGTACTTAGCCGAACGACCTGCGGCATCAGAACATGCGCTACATCCTGACATCTGATTCTCAGTAGTGCCAAGCCGCGTATCACATTCGATACCAGCACAACTGCCGGCGGATCCTGTAGGCCAGGGCAGTTGGAGCGCCAGGGATTGGCACAACTAAGCTCTTTGCCCTCCAAGAAAACTGACATGAAGGAGCTGAGAGAGTACGTCTTGCCTGCAGAAATGCAAGCTGCATGACAGCTGGCTCCATCCTTGTCTGCATTCGCTTGCATGTCGCAATCTAAGATCTGCACTTGACGATCAACAGCATGCCAACAGCCGTTCACTAGTCTACGGGGTCTGTGGTGTCCTTCAACCCTCTTCTTTTTCCAAGGGGCCAGGCAACTGTCGGCACAGTTGAACAGAAGCCAGGTCAAGAAGCGCCGGCTCCACACCATAGCAGCGTACAGCTCTGGTGTTGACGCACCAGCCCAACGCAAGGGCAGACGGTTCCTTAAGCTATGTCACTGTGGCAGGCCCGTCTTTGGCTTCATTGATGCGGTCCTGAATGCTCTGCAAAGGTACCACTCGGAGTTGCAACGCAAACCCTTGTAGCTTCGAATTTCTAGCAGACATGGCGGTCTCCATGAAACAGTAACCCCTGTCTACCTACTACCTTGGGTTCGCCTCGGCCCATCAACATCGGGAATCACATGAAAATGTATCTGGCGCCGCGGGATGACACCGAGATGGGTGCGGAATGTAGCACAGATTGCACAACAAGTCATGCCTCGTGGCGCAGAGCAAGAGCATCACCAACCATCACACACTTGCAAAACATCATCCTTTCTGGTGTCCAAACTGGCCAAATGAAAGAAGCCGACAAACAGCCTGCGCTCTGCTCAGACTTTGCACAC